AGATGTGATATTAAAGCTTATTATATTTCAATAAATTTTCTATGCATTAAAAAAAAAAAAAGTACCCGGAGTGGTGGTGCATGCCTGTAATGACGGCACTTGAGAGACTGAGGCAGGATATGAAGTCAAGGCTAGCCTGGGTCACGTAGGGAATCTGAGGCCAGCCTGGACTACACAGTGAGACCCTATATCAAAAAAAAGAAAAGAAAAGAAAAAGAAAAAAGAAAGAAAAAAAGAAAAAAAGTATGAGAGATCCTCAGTTTTCTTTTTTTTCTTTTTTTTTGCGGTACCAGGGATTGAACTCCAGACCCTGTGCTTGCCAGGCAGGCACTTATTCTACTGAACTATCCCCCCAGCCCTGAGTTTTCTAAGATTATTGGCCCAGAAAATTGCCACTTGAAGTGAATCAACATTTCTCTATAAAAAAATTTTGATTGAGATTTTACCTTGAAAAGTCAAATTTAAAATTATGAAAATCAAATTTTTATCATACATATAGCATAGTTTTTTTAAAAATTTATTTGTGTGTGAGTGTGTGTGGCCTGCTCAGCCCACCAGGGGGCGGGGCTGGCTGGCATGTGGTGCTGGGGGATTGAACCGTGGTCCCTGTGCTTTGCTAAACTCGTTCTAAGTAGGTGCTTTAGACCACTGAGCCATCTCACCAGCCCCGCATATAGCATAGTTTTAAGCTGTAACCTTTGCATTAATTCTCTGAAGGAAAGAATTAGTCAAACAGCAGTGTATACTTTTTGTGATGTTACATTTGACTTTGTTGTACAATTGTGAATTGGATAAGTTTTGCAAAAATATTAACGAGTTTCTTTCATTCGTCTGTTTTCTTGCGAGGCTCCTGCAGGGACATGTAGGTTGGCTCCCACTCTAGCTGTGCCAGAGCCTCCCTCTTCAGTGTCTGTGTGCACTTGGAGAAGTTCCCTGTCACTAATGTCATCACTTTAGGAGTATTGTACTCCTTCAGAGATTTTGCTGAAGGCAAATCAGTGGGCAAGAAGACTTGGATGGACCAGGACTTGGATGTGACAAACAGGCCTGATCTTAAGTGGGGACAGATTTGAATGAAGGCTAATTTTATAAATTGTAGGTTCATTAGTGATAATTTTTCAGCTGTAATTTTTATTGGAGCCTCAATGCTAAGGATTTAGATTACAAATATGTAATGATTCCTTTTTAATTGGGGCAGTTTTGCCTTCTTTGAGAGCATTTTGAAATGGCCAGCTTGGGGATGTGTCTTGATTGTCACAGTGACTTTGAGACATTGCTGTGTTCTCTAGGCAGGGAGTCAGGAATCTAAATTTTCTGAGTTAATGTGTTAACTTTCTGCTAACCAGAAACCAGCTTGGTTAGTTCAGGCATTTGTTGGTGGTTTGTTTTTGCGGTACCAGGGACTGAACTCAGAATCTTACACTTGCCAGGCAGGTGCTTGTGCTGCTGAGCAATCCCCTTGGCCCCTTTGGTCAGGCATTTAAATAGGCCTGGACATGTGCTATCTTTTCCAAAGCCCTCGCTTGGTAAAGTGATTCTGTTGACATTTATCCGTTGGCTCACCCTTACTGTGTGTTTGTGCCACAGAGTCCTTCTACGACACGTTTCACAGCGTGGCTGACATGATGTATTTCTGCCAGATGCTGGCAGCTGTGGAGACCATCAATGCAGCAGTTGGCATCACCAGTTCCCCAGTGATACCTTCCCTCATACAGGTACTGAGTGTTTGAGCTCAAGGGCGGGGAGAGAAGAGTTTAGGATTTTTCTAGTTGGAATGTAAGCATTTGTTGGTCTGAGTTATTGTTTGCATGGGAATAGCACTATTTTACTTGAACAGGAAGAAAAAATTTAAACTTCAGGGGTACTTTCCAAAGTAGACGTTTCAGGCCTCTTTGATTTGTAATACCCTCATGCAATCACAAAAGTATAAAATGAGCTTCAAATGTAGGCAGGCACAGGAAAACCTCCCCTCGGTCTCTTTGGTTAGCAGTGTCTTGCGTAGACAAAGGCAATCAAAAATCTGAGCCACTGTGGTTGTGCACCTCTAATCTAGCACTCGGGAGGCTGAGGCAGGAGGATTGCTCGGAGTCAAAGCCAGCCTGGGCTATATAGTGAGTTGAAGGCAAACATACACTACATAGAGAAACCTTGTCTTAAAATCCCCACAAAAAAGAAAAAAAAAAAATCTAGGAATTCATTTCCCTTTGAACTTTGTTTTGTGTACAGATATGGCTCTTCTGACTGGAGAATGGGGACCCCATGGGTTATGTCGTTTCCTCAGGTGACTGCTATCAGGAATGGTGCAGCAGAGTCTTTTTCTCTTTGTTCTGTTTCTCTGCTGTGATCACATACGAGTAAACGCCAGCTGCTGATGCAGGGGCTCCAGGTGACGGCTGCTTAGTCTGCCAGCTGTTGTGTTCTTTTTAATTATTATTATTTTTTTTTAACATTTATTGTGTGTGTGTGTGTGTGTGTGTGTGGCCAGCTCAGCCCACCAGGGGGCGGGGCTGGCTGGCATGTGGTGCTGGGGGATGGAACCGCGGTCCCTGTACTTTGCCAAGCTTGTTCCAAGTAGGTGTTTTAGACCACTGAGCCATCTCTCCAGCCCCTGTTGTGTTCTAATAGTATCAGTTGTAAGGTAGAGCAGCTCAATATTTTTTTTTGGTGGAACCGGGGATTGAACTCAGGCCCTTGCGCTTGCCAGGGAAGCGCTTATTCCACTGAGCCATCTCCCCGGCCCCAGCTTAATATTTTTTCTTTCTTTCTTTTTTTTGCAGAACTGGGGATTGAACTCAGGCCCTGCGCTTGCCAGGGAAGTGCTTATTCCACTGAGCCATCTCCCCAGCCCCTAATATTTTTTATGTAATTATTTTCCCCACTTTTTATTGTTGTTTTTTTTTTTTTTTTTTTTTTTTTTTTTTTTTTTTTTTTTTTTTTTTTCTTGGTGGAACCGAGGATTGAACTCAGATTCTTGCGTTAGCCGGTCAAGCGCTTATCCTACTGAGCCATCTCTCCGGCCTGCTTATTTTTTAAAGAGAATAAAAAAATAATTTAAAAAACCCATCGGGGTCAGGGCTATAGCTCAGGGGCTCAGCACCTGCCTGGCAAATACAAAAAAAGAAAAAAAAAATCTAGGAATTCATGTCCCTTTCTAGGTTCAATTCTTTGTAACCCCCAAAATTAAAATGATACAGAATTTCAGCGAGATGATATGGATTCAACTATGGTTGTTATATTACAAATTAATGTCTTTAAATTAGCTGTTCAGATTACCAGATATAAGCATGCAAAATTGGTCAAAAAAAGAAAGAAAAAACATGAACTTTTTTTTTTTTTTAATTTTATTTATTTATGTGTGTGTGTGGCCAGCTCAGCCCACCAGCGGGTGGGGCTGGCTGGCATGTGGTGCCCGGGGGATTGAGCCGCGCTCCTGTGCTTTGCTAAGCTTGTTCTAAGTAGGTGCTTTAGACCACTGAGCCATCTCACCAGCCCCAAATGGATTTTTATTTTATTTTATTTTATTTTTGGCAGAACCGGGGATTGAACTCAGGCCCTTGCGCTTACCAGAGAAGCGCTTATTCCACTGAGCCATCTCCCCAGCCCTTTAAAGGGCTGATTAGATTTTTTTTTTTTTTTTGCGGAACCAGGGATTGAACTCAGGCCCTTGCGCTTGCCAGGGAAGCGCTTATTCCACTGAGCCATCTCCTTGGCTAAAGCCTTCTTTTGCAAAAAATACACAGGTAGATTAGGTGGCCTGGTGAACTCTCCTGCTAAAAAGGCAAGAGGCAGGAAAGAAGAATAAGCTGCACTGATGAGCTAGGTAACTGCTAGAACGTCCGCAGAGAGGCCGCGCGCTGGGATTGCCAACACCAAGAGTGAACGTAAACTTCACTTCGCTGGTCTCACAAGGCACAGGAGGGAGGTACACAGACTTTAGATTCTGACACACGTCCTGATTTTCATGAGTGTCTTCCCAGTGAAGATTCAAAACAACTGCACAACGGTGGATTAGACGCCCTGCCCCGCCTCCCCCAGGCCATGAGCAATCTGTGGAAACACAGTTGTTTCTAATGTTGATCCTGCTAGAGGTGGGGAAATACCCTTAAGATCTGTGATGTAAATTCCTAACTCCTTGGTGGTTAAAAATTCTCTAGTCATAAATCTTACTTGAAGTGAACCTTAAGCTGGGTGTGGTGGCACCCACCTATAATCCCAACACTCAGAAGACTGAGGCAGAAGTTTTGTTGGGAGCTGCATAGCAAGACCCTGTCTCAAAAAACAAAACCAAAACGAATTAATGATCATCAACTGCTATTGCCCTCAGAATACGGAAGTGACAAACACAAGTCTTTTCTGTAAGAAATACCTTTGCCCAGGTTTGAAAGAATTCCCAGTATTGCTTCCAAGGAAGACAAGAGGCCTGCAGTCAAAGATTGTAAGACAGACAAAATAAAACCACCGAAAACAAGGCATTATGAGCAAGAACCATCAGGCATAACCAGTGAAGCAGAGTGGAGTGACTGGCAGGTACCAGTTACTTACTGGCATGTTCGAGGGCTGAGCTCATTAAAGTGTGTTAGGCAGGCACAAATAGTCATGCTTTAAACTATGTTTGAAAGTATGCATGGGCTTTAACGCTGCAGGTACACACACACGAAAGTACCTGTCTACCCAGAAAGACTTGTTTGGGTACTTTTATCAAAACTGGAGTAGAGTTAAACTAGTTTAGCAGTTAAACCATTTAACTTGTATTTAGTGATGTTACATTTTAGATAACACATTTGTATGATATATAAATATATGTCACTTATGTACAAGGGGTGCTCAGAAAGTACAGTGAATGTGGAAACATTTTATTACAGCAAAGGACACATTGCCATTAACCCACCTCAGAATACTTCCCTTCACCTTGGGCACTTATCTCCTTGTTCTCACTACTTTATGAAGCAGTTCTGGAAGTCTTGTTTGTGTATGTCTTCACGAGACGTAATCAAAAATACAGTGAATGCTGCTGCCAGATATCATCCAATAGAAAGGCAGGCTGGTAAAAGCGTGGCATGCCCTCACCTACCTTATTCACTGAGTCAGGTCCTGTGCAACTTCTGGCTCTTTCCCCAAATCAAAATGACATGAAAGGTCGATATCTTACATTAATTTAGGACATCGAGGCAGCCACAACAGCACAACTAAAGATACGAAAGAGGACTTCTGGAATTGCTGCAGAAAGTGGCAAGAATGCTAAGTGTGTGGGAAGCAAGAGGGAGGATTTTGAGGGGGATTAATGGCAATGTATCTTTTATAGTAATAATTTAAAAAATTTAAACACATCTCAGTTGTACCTTGTATATATTTTAAGATTTTTCTCCTTTGGTTTTTTTAATAGCTTCTTGGAAGAAATTTCATTCTGTTTATCATCTTTGGCACCATGGAAGAAATGCAAAACAAGGCTGTGGTTTTCTTTGTGTTTTATTTGTGGAGCACAATTGAGATTTTCAGGTGGGTGGAAATGACAGGATGTTTGATGCCTGTCCCTCTCAGGAGCAGCTCCCTTCCTGAGGGAGTGGCTTTCTTGGCCAGAGTTTCATTTGGTTTGGGACTCAGATCACATATGTGGAGAATTCGGGCTTCACCAATGTGCTCTGCAGAGGTGAGGCAAATTTTTTTAAAGCAGTGATGGAGTCATGATGGCGATGTGCATGCTAGGAGCAGAAGGAGTGAACAGGGAAGGGAAAGAGCCATCTCTTTCCTTTGAGGATCTTGATTTTGTGTGGCAGAGCCTTGAGAGTCAGTCCATGAGGAAAATCCTTGAGGAGCCTGGCCTAGCACAAGGTGGACAGAGCAGTCCAGGTTGGACAGATGGGTCAGGTTGGCCTTCTAGCAGGGATGACAGACACGACACGAATGTTTCACCACAAGATGTCTGAGGTTTGCAGTTGGCTTCTTTCCCAATTTTTCCATTCTCAGTTACCACTGGAAGAAAGGCTGTTTTAAGAAACGGATCCATTTTTAAGTATTGCTCTTCTCTACCAGCTCCACGTGTCCCTTGCTTCTTCCTTGCTCCTGTGCAGAGCAGCAGGAGCTTTCTGCAGAAAGGGAGGAGGGGTGTGTCCAGCACACCCATACTACAGTCACAGGCACTGGCTCTGGCTGGCCTGTCCCCACGTGTGCTGCCTTCATTTGCTCCTTTCAGGGGGAGCAGAGTGTGTCGATTGGCTTCCTGGCTCTTGGTGTGTTTGCTGGCATTCTGACAGTTACTAACTCGAGGGCATAGCAGTAGCAGCCCGAGTCATATCTTAACCTTGCTCTGTATGCCAGGGTACTGACTGGGTCCTTACTGTGAACTTTGACTATTTGGGAAGAAACAGCTTTATTATGATATAGTATGTTTGCTTCTAGATTAGAGGCCTTTCATGTTTTTTAATTGGGATAACAGTTCATTTATTCAGAGACAAAGAGTCTGCCATCTTTACTCATAGGATCACAGATAAGAGCTGGGAGTAAAGCCAGAGACATTGTCAGCAGCCAGCCCATGCGCTAGACAAAGAGCTTCCTGTGAGAGTTGGGCTTGGGGCCCTTGACCGCGAGAGTCTCCTGATGAGACTTTGGGTAGCCAGCCCAGGCCTCTCTTCCTCTGAAGAAGCTGTATGTTGCTAATAAGAATGGATGCCTGTATGTTCCTCAATGATATTCTAGGCTGTACTCAGAACCCAGGTGGCCGGTGACATATATACTGTGTCCTTGTGCTCCACAGGTATCCCTTCTACATGCTTTCTTGCATTGACATGGACTGGAAAGTGCTCACGTGGCTGCGTTACACTGTTTGGATACCTGTGTACCCCCTGGGATGCTTGGCTGAAGGTATTTTTGGGAACCCCAGGTCTTGTAGCTTTACTGTTTGCGTACCAGGTACCTGGGTGGCCATTCCCTTCTTCCTGCCTCTGCCCGGCCTTGGTCTGGTAGGTGAGGCATTGGACTTCTCCATGACTTTGTCTTGTTCCCACCTTCCTTAAGAATTCCTGGTAGCCACAGTACTCCAGAGAGTGCTGGAAGTCACTGTGTGACATTTGGAAGTCGTGTACTGCATGCTTCAGTTATATATTTTGAATTTTACAGAGTTCATTCTTTTTTTGGTTCTGGGGATCAAACTCAGGAGCTTGCACTTGCCAGACAGGTGCTTATGCTACTGAGCTATGTCCCTGGCCCTCCAGGGTTCATTCTTATTTTGAATGAGTTCACTGTATTCTGACACTTAGTGAATGAGTTGGGATTTTCTTCCATTTTGAGGGCCAGGACACAAGAGCCTACTGCCATGAGTGTTGTCCCCTATCTTCCTGTTGGTGGCTCTGAGGCCTCTTAGGAACTCGAGGGGCAGAAAGCACAAAGGGAGGAGGGGCACGTCCCACACACCCAGATTGCAGTCCCGGGCACTGGGGCTGGCCGGCCTGTCCCCACATGTGCTGCCTTCATTTGCTCTTAACGAGCTCTCATCTCCGTTTGCAGCTGTCTCAGTGATCCAGTCCATTCCAGTTTTCAACGAAAGCGGAAGATTCAGTTTTACATTGCCATATCCAATGAAAATCAAAGTTAGATTTTCATTTTTTCTTCAGATTTATCTTATAATGTTATTTTTAGGTAAGTATTGGCTCTATGATAGTCTTTTTCCTTGTCATTTCTTAAGAGGGTAGAGTTAAATGATTCAGAGTTAGACTTACTTACCTTGTTAAGTTGTCTGGCACGTCTGTAATCCCAGCACTTGGCAGGATGAATGAGGCCTGCAGATTGCTCTGAATTCAAGGCCAACCAGGATTACATAGTGTGTTCAAGGTCAACCTACAATAACATGGTGAAACCCTATCTCAAAAACCAAACCAAAAAGACCCTAGAAGAAACAAAATGAATTCTTTCTAAAAGAGTAACATAAAGGTAGAGACAATTTACTTCACAAAAACAAACCCACTAGCAGAATATGCTGCAGTACATGAGGACTCCTTCCTAAGAATCCGGTGGTTGAATCATGTTCTTGAAGTGCTCTTGGTAATTGACACACCATTCCAACCCTGGCACTGAGGACGGAAATGGGGGCCTCTGCACTAAGTTAGGTCTCTAGCCCATCCATCCACCTCCCCATCCATCCATCCACTAGCTGAGGCAGGATTTTACTATGCAGTTCAGGCTCTTCTTGAACTTGCAGCAGTCCTGCCTCAGCCTCTGGAGTGCTGGGATTACAGGCATTGGCCACTGTAACTAGCTCTTTTTATTTTTCATTTCTTTCTTTTTGAGATAGGTAGGATCTTACAGAGTTGCCCAGGCTGAGCTCAAACTTACAGTCTTCTTGCGTCGTCCTACCATGAGACATTTCTTGATGAAAACAGTATAAAGAGCCCTTTTAAAGGAGTTGGAGCCAGGCCTGGTGGTACAACGTGCATGACAAATCAGCTGATTGGGAGGCTGAGAAAGGATCACCTGAATTCACAAGTTTCAGCTTAGTCTGGGCAACACAGCAGGACCTCATCTCATAATTTAAAAGCTTAATGGTAAATAAATAGAGTAGGAAGCTCATCTTTAGTTTCAGTAGCATATTCCTTATTTAGATGTTAGAGAGGCTGGCTGTAGGCAGTATAGCTGGGAACAAGGAAAAACTCAGGGGTTATCATAAAACTTTCCAGGTAATGGTAGGAAAGTGCCCTGCTGGTCATGTGTGAACTGCTTTCTTGCTAATTTACATTTACATAAAATAAAGTCTTAATTCATGAAAACTAAGAACTAAAGGAGGAAGAAAAGTGAACTTTTACAAATGCAAAAGACTGAAGGAGGGTAGAGAGTTTTGGGCCTCTTGGAGGTCAGCTACCCCAGATGGAGAGGAGCCTGAGGTGCCCTGAGGCCTGTGGTGCCAGGGGAAGGAGCCTGGAGCTTTAGGAGCTATACAGGACATCAGCACACATCACAAGCCCAGGCCGCTTGCAGAAGGTTAACTTTACTTCCTGTTTTCTACTTCAGCAAAGGGTATACCCTACTTCAGAAAGACTTCTAACCCAAAATGTTTTAGACCTTGAAGGGACTAAGGTAAAAGAGTATCTTGCCCAATCACTAGGCTCTGTGCATGGGCATAATGAAAGTACTGAAATGGAATAAGCTTGGAAGACATTTAAAATACTTCACTACAAAGTGAGAGAGGTAGAAATATTTTAATATGCTCTAATATTAGCAACTGTTCCTTGTACTGTGCACCTTAACTTGCAGGCTTTTGTATGTAGTTTGCCTGTAATGGATCATGTCTTAGTTACTTTCTTTTCCTTGCTGAGACAAAATACCAAACATCCACAAATTAAGGGAGGAAAGGTTTGTTTATTTTTATTTATTTATTTGGAAAGGTTTGTTTAGCTCACAGTTTGTAGAGGTTTCAGTCCATAATCGGCTGGCTCCAAGGCAGGGCGCCATGGCAGAGGGGCATCGCAGAAAAGAAAGCAGTTCATGGCAGGCAGAAGGTAGCACAAGAAGCAAGCAAAGGACACACCTAGCCTCGTTCTGCTCCTTATACTGTATCCAGGCTAGCAGAATTAGAGCAGTGCCAAATCAGTGAGTGGACTGATTTAGTAATCCCCCAGCCTTAATCCCAGCATCATATACTATAGATCTAGCCACCTCTGAAAAAGCCCCGGCTGTGACTGCATGGGGCTTTGGGGGTTATCCAGACATGGCCAGAATATGTAAATAGTTGCTTTCTTACTCTTTAAACTCAATTAAGTTCTAAATTTACATTTATAAATTTGAAGCAGTGTGCCAACTGGTTAACATTTCTATATACATCAAGGTACTTCTGTACATTTATTCAGTTTTTCATAGCAAGTTTGTGTTTCTTTTCTCTTTCTTTCTTTTTTTCTTTCTTTTTTTTTTTTTTTTGAGGAGCCAGGGATTGAACTCAGGCCTTTGCCAGGCAAGTGCTTATTCAACTGAGCTAGCTCCCCAGCCCTCAAGTAAATGTTTCTAACTATCAGAAAAATGAGGAGACTCAGAACCTACTCAGTGGCCAAGCAGGGTTCAAATTTCTGACCCTGAAACGCTGTGGTTCCTAATTACTGAACTGGACTTACTGCAAAAGTGTCCCAAACCTTTTATCTGCTTTGATTTTGAAACGGGGTCTCATTTGCTGTCAGGCAGGTCTTGAACTGACAGTAAGTAATCTTTCCTCCTTGGGCTCTCAAGTAGCTGGGACTGCGTGGTGTGGTTGGCTTGTGTCATCCCTTTTAGACAGTTTAACATGTGTTCTTAAGGGAGCCCTGAGTTTAAAATTAGCTTGTCTTTACAATGAAAGATTTGTGTCTCTCATTGTAAACCCCAGGGGAAGAAAGACCAGCAGGACTGCACGGTACGTAAGAAATGTGCAGGGGAGGAAGGCTCTGCCTCTCGCTCTGCACTGCCTCCGCAAGGAGCTGGCCAGGCAGACAGTGGGCAGTAGGGATGTGATGAAGGAAAGAAGCACAAGTGCAAACGATGTTTGCTAATCAAAGATTTTGCCTGAAATTTTTATAATGAAATGTGGGACAAGATTAACTTACAATCCCTGCCGAAGGAATCAGCCTGTCTCTGGTGCACACTACTGATTTGCTCTAAGTTATCCGTCCTGAGCCTCCACAATAAACAGTGCTGTTAGACATGAAAACACAAGCAGTGTCTGCCCCTGGCCCCCAAGGGCTTCTGGTTACAACCAAGATTGTCATTCTAATCCATCTCTTTTCTTTTGCAGGGTTATATATAAATTTTCGTCATCTTTATAAACAGCGCAGGCGGCGGTATGGACAAAAAAAGAAAAAGGTCCACTAATCAGATTTAGAAGGCACCTTGCCAGTTTGAGCCTAATCTGTGATTCTTACAGTTTTACCTTCTTGTACTGATGTAAACGTTTTTTTAAAAGTTAAACAATTAAACTCTCAGTGAGGCTATCTCCCTTTCCACAGTAACATTCCTGAATTTGCTGTATTATCTTAGTGTAGTACTTGCATGACATGGATTCCCGATATCTGACAACAGGTTCTTTCTTGTGTGTGCAATTAATGACAGCACAAGCTCTGCCCCAACCCATTCTGTTCTTTACATGCCAGAGACTGTTCCAGCGCTGTCCCTACAGGTTCCGAGCACTCTTACAGTTGGGCTTTGTTCTTTTTCCCTATTAGTGAAGAAAAGCAAGGCTATATTGCTTTACAGAACGCCATTAAAGTGACTCAGGCAGGAACTAATATTCTGTACACTAAGGCTTACTTGCATAGTGGGAGGGAGGGCACTGACTTTTTGAAAATCAAGTATACTTGGTCATTGAGGAGTCTGAGTCAAGGCAGTGCTGGAGAGCAATTTTGCACCTGATATCTTTTAGCCTAACAATGTCTGTCAGCACAGTGCTTATTACAATAGTGCTTACCAGAGTGGGCATTGAAGAGGCAAAGGTGATTTGAGAGAATCCAAGCAGAACCTTGGAACACCATGGTCACTTCATTGCTAGGTAAATCGGGACTGTTTTCAACTCTAAAGAAAGAGGAGACCTTGTTTAGAAAACATTAGTTCTGAACTTAGGTGGCTGTAGGAGTCAGAAAGAAATGCAGACCACATTGACCGAACTGGCACAGATATACCTGCCCAGCATGTAGCCCATGGCCACTAGAAAGTCAACACAGGCCAGCCTGGAGCAGGCCCTGCCCACCTATAATGCTGTCTAACCCGGGCACAGGCTGAGTCAGAGCCCACTGCCTTGAGCTGGAGGAGTCCACTTCCTGCATATTTCTCTGAGAGAGGGGGAAGGCTATACATTTTGAACCTCAAAAACATGTTTTTTGTGCTGTTGTTGGGTTGGCTTTATTTGTCTGCAGTAGGACACTGAAAAAACAGGAATTTTGGCTGGAAAATGACCTGCTGGTCCTTTACTAGGGATCCTTGGTAGGAAATGCACAATGGGGAACTGCAGTTTAGCCATTATGGTTGGCCCCTGTAAAGACACATCAGTTTCCTCCGGTACATTCCATGTAAACCAGGTAAAATAAGTGTTAGAAGTAACACTTATACTAAAAGAATTTAAGGCATAGTTGCGCCTTCTGTTCTGCAGTCCCATGTTCCTGGAGAAAAGGAGATTGGTCAGCTTTGATTTGAAGTTTCCAATAGCAGAAGCTATTTTAAAAACTGACTGCACTGAAGGGCATTTTGCATGTCTGTCACTTCTGTCAACAGCTGTTCGTACTGACCTGCTGTCCTCTCACCTGACTGTAACCGGGCAATCAGCTGTGCAGTAGATGCTGTGTTCTCGTGGCAAAGCCCTGTATTCTTAGTGATCGTTAAGAGCCCCTTTATTGCTGTCTGAGGAAGACTGTGTATTTATATTAAAATATTTGCAATCAAAATCCTAAGAACGTGTTTTAGAATTATTTACTGGTCTTTTAACTTGTTTAGGCAAAGTATCATCTAGTAGTTCAGCATAGTAAACCAAAAACAGTTGTTCTGGTTGAGTAAACCAAAAACAGCCTGAGGGAGTTCTGAAGGCTCAGTACAGCTGGAAAAGCATCACTGGTGCAGATAAAACCAGCGCGGGTGGCACAGCATGCCTGAGGTGCTGAAGCCAGTGGGTGACTCAGAGCCTGGGTGACTCAGAGCCTGGCTGACTGCATAGCGGTCCGCGGGACCTGGCTTAGGAAGCAGAAGCACAGCCTAATGAGGACTGGACAAAGGGGTCAGTGTGGACCTCCAACGAACTTCTGGATTTATTAATCTGTGTCACTATATTCAAGTGACAGGACAGACTGAGGGACATTGGACCATTAGTTTCTCAGTGAAAGTATGCTATAGAAAATCAAGTATTTTATTTTCATTAAAAAACCAGGAATCATTTTATACATATGTGGTTGCTGTTTAAAAGTTTGTACTCAAGATACACCAAAAGCACCCAAGCATTACTATCATATTTTACCAAGTTTAAGCAAAATTCTGGAACTCGGTAGTATTCAGTTTGTCCTCAAGTCCCAAGCAACCTGGGCTGCCTCTTCAGCGAGGATTGAAAATGTGCTTACAGCTGAGCACAATCTGAAGGGATACTTGCAGGATGTGATAGTCCTCGCCAGTGTTTCCTGAGGCGGCGGCAGGCAGGGCTCTGTGCTCAGCCTCCCTAAGATGTGTCCCTCATGGGAGCAATGGCTGAGACACCCCAAGCCAGGAAGCTAGGGTTAAGCCAACCAGCCAGCCCCTTTCCACCCCTGCAGCTCCTCACACTGGGCAGTCTTGCCAGCCTGCAAGGGGTGCTGCTGAGCCAGGCTCAGGAAGGCCTCTGGGTGGCCATGTCAGAGGTGAATGTACTGAAGTCCTTTTCAGTTCAAATTAACCCCCCATGTCGGCTCACATTCTCTCTGCACTGCTGCCAGAGAAGTCTGTGTGCAAAGGGGTGATGTTATGGTCGTATGCAGCGTACTCAGAGGTGCCGGTGCTGGCCAGCTTGAGCTGCTGAGCGGCGTGGGTGAGCTGGAAGGCAGCATCGGGGTGCGCTGTGTCTGGCAGCAGTGTGCACTCCCGCTCCAGCATATCAGCCACACCCTTGAGCAGGTCCAGGAAGCCAAAGGCCAGTGCGGCCTTTCGCAGACGGTTCAGCTCCTGAAACACAATGAAGACCAGTGTTCCTGAAATGTGCTCTCTTCCTCGAGTACCTTGTGAGTGCACAGCTGATGGTCCATTCTCTTTGCCCCTCAACTTTCAGGAAGCATTCTGATATGAGCACCAGTGTCTACGCAGAGAAGCCAGCACTGAGCGCGAGGAGGTAACTGATGGGCGCTTCCTCAGCAGGTGGCCAGCAGCTAGGTGGGGAAGACCGGGCGCTCGCTCTGTCCGCACAGCAGTGAGCAAGTACGCAGACGTGGTGGCAGGCACTCTGCACACATCAGGTGCTCACACTGCCCTGTGGTGTTGGGGGCTGGGACAGCCTTGCTCCACTCCCAGAGGCCGCTTACCCTTCGGTGCCTCTCCAGCGTGGGCTTGCGGTAGCCAGGCTGTACAGGAAGGACTGCCACACGGGTGGCAGGGGTAGGGCAGGGGTGGGGACGGAAACACAGGAATGGAAAGTACCCGCCAGGCACCTGGTGTGACTGGACAAGCTGCAGAGACTCTCGGTCTCAGGCCTAGTCATAGAGCAAGGGCCACCCTCCTCCCTGTGTGCTGCAGGAGCCAAGGCAGGTGCTCGAGGCCCTTTCTGGCTCTCATGTAGGATCATATAAAGCCAGGAAGGAGAAGGGGGCTCTCAGGCCACCCCTGTATTATCTAGTAAAGGCAGAAGGATGAGAGGAAGGGCACAGCACAGGTGTGCCACCGCAGACAGAAAAACGACGGCCGCATGTACAAGCTGTGGAGAGGTGGGCTGCAGCTGAGGCCTGGCAGGTTGATAGCTGCAAGTGGGAAGGAGACTGGCTGGCTAAGCAGCTCTGCCAACTCTGATTAAAGCTGCAAATTCTGGGCTGGGGAGATAGCTCAGGAGTCCAAGCAGCTGCCTGGCAAGTGTCAGGACCACAGTTTGATCCCTGGCACAGGATGCTGTGCTGGACCTATAATCCCAGCACTGGGGAGGCTGAGCCAGGAGAATCACTACAGTGTGAATTGCAGTGAGACCCTGTATCCAATAAATAAATAAACAGCTGCAAATTCTACTTGATGTCCTCAGCCTGCTACATAATTAGGCTTGAGGACAATATGAGTCAAGGTAATGAGGTTAAGATGCAAAGTAGCAGTGTGTCTATAGGAGATTCCAGCCCCAGGCCTGCTGTGTGGGCTGTATTTTGAGATTAGCAAATCTGGACTCCTTACACTGTGCATCACTGCACTCCAGCCAAACGTCAGGAAGACTGGGAGGGAAATCTCCCCCAGTAGCTGTGGGTTAGCCAGGCACCACCATGGAGGGCCACCATCTCACAACTCACATGTGTAGCTTCAGCAGTTGTCCTGAACGGAGCTTCTCAGGTGCAGTAGGATTGTTCCAGGCAGTTCCACACCCCAGTTGGACACATACACCACCTGCATGGGCTGCACTGGTCACCCATGAGGGAGGTAGACATCTGCTCCCCTGCTGTGCAGAGCCCGGCCTTTCCAACACTGCCCCTTCTTGGACTGTGAGGTCCATCGCTCACTGACCTCCCTGATGAGATGCCCGAGGCGCCAGCGGCATAATACTCATCCTTGCCATCATCATGCCCCTGGCCCGGCTCGCTACTCTGTGCACAGCTACCCCTCCCCCTCCACTGCAGTTCTGACCTGCTCACCTTATAGAATGTCTGCGTTTTTTCAGGTAGTTTCCGTGCGTTTCTCAAAATTTTCTGTACATCTGTCTGTTAAGAGTAAAAGAATGGAAAAATTAAACATTAGAATTCTGTGGTTAAAAAGTGAAGAAAGAACCCCAAATGTTTAAAGAAATGAATTAAAGAATGAATGTTTAAAGAAATTAAAAGATTAAAAAAGCTGCAGTTGAGGTAGGGGAAGGGGAAGGTCCCTTCTGAGCTATGTCAGCATCCTGCTCAACACTGACAAAGCAAAGTAATCCCAGCTACTCCGGAGGCTGAGGCAGGAGGATCACAAATTCAAGTTCAGCCTAGGTAACAGGTTTTAAAAGGGTTGGGCATATATCCCAGTCCTAGAGTAGCCTTGGGTTTAATCCTCAGTACTGAAAAACATACTTCCCTCCTTTAAAAAGTTGGATAATAAATCATTCTCAGAAAACTATATCCAGGGGGCTGGTGAGATGGCTCAGTGGTCTAAAGCACCTACTTAGAACAAGCGAAGCTAAAACAAAGCACAGGGACCGCGGTTCAATCCCCAGCACCACATGCCAGCCAGCCCCGCCCCCTGGTGGGCTGAGCTGGACACACACACACACACACAATAAATAAATAAATGTTAAAAAAAAATTAAAAAAAAAACTATATCCAGGAAATCCATAAATCTATAGCTAGTTGCTTTTTTCTTTTTTGTATTTTAGTAAGGGTCTACAGGGTCTCACTAAGTAGATCAGACTCGGAGTGATCCACCTGTGTTCAGCCTCCGAAACGCTGGGATTACAGGCACACACCACCACGTCCAGTCTCAATCCCAGGGCTGCATCTGCCTAAGCAGGCACTTTAATCTGCTGAGTAGATAGTTGCTTTTTTTTTTTTTTTTTTTTTTTTTTTTGTGGAACCAGGGATTGAACTCAGGCCCTTGCACTTGCCAGGGAAGCGCTTATTCCACTGAGCCAGCTCCCTGGCCCCAAAACTTTAATTTATTTTTTTATTTTTTGGTGGAACCAGGGATTGAACTCAGGCCTTTGCGCTTGCCAGGGAAGCGCTTATTCCACTGAGCCATCTCCCCGGCCCGATAGTTGCTTTTTTATAAGGCTGCCAAGGCCATTCTATGGGGAAAGAATACTCTTTTCAACAACTGGAGTTGGGACAAGTAGAGAACCACATGCAAAAGAAGGTGGACCTTTACCTCAACATAAAAAGTGAACTCAGAATGGATTAGATGCCTAAATATAAAATCTAATACTATAAAACTTCTACAGGAAATATAGGGATAAATTCTTCATCACCTTGGATCTGGCAATGATCTCTTAGTGAAGATACATAAAAGCACAAGCAACAAAAGCAAAGAACAGAAATATTTTACTGAGTCAAAACTATAAAGAACTTTTTTCTTTCTTTCTTTTTTTTCGGAACCAGGAATTGAACTCAGGCTCTTGTGCTTGCCAGGCAAATGCTTATTCTACTGAGCCATCTCCCCGGCCCCAAGAATTTTTTTTGAGACAAGAGATCTCACTAGGTAATTCAGAATGGCCTAGAGCTCACTTTGTAGCCCAGGCTGGCCTCAAAATCACAGCAATCCTCCTGCCTCAGCCTCCCAAGTGCTGGGATTACAGGTGTGTGCCACCATGCCTGTGGCAGGAAGATGGTGAAATCAAAGCCAGCTGGACCTCACACTCACCCTCTGCCTCAAGAACCCTTAAAAAAAAATTTTTTTTTTTCATGTATTTAGTAGAGGGTCTACAGAGTCTCACTACACAGACTGGACTCATAGTGATCCTCCTGTTTCTTAGCCTCCCAAGCACTGGAATATAGGCACCCCCCACCACAACGAGCCTCACAGGGCCCTCATGGCAGAGGATCGAAGCCTGGCCCCTGAGGGTTTCCCCATAACTCATCTGCAGAGCTATCTGGCTGGCCCACCTTAAAAACTCTTGTATATCAAAGAGCACTACCAAGAGTATGAGAAAAGGGCTGCGTGTTCCTTGGTAGTGGAACACCTGCAGTGCACATAAGGCCCTGGGTTCAATCCCTAATAATACCAATGAAGGAGAAAAAAGTGCGAAGAGAAAACCCACCAAATGGGAGAAGGTATTTACAAATCACTTATTTCTAAGGGTCTGTTATCCTGAGTACAAAAAAATTTCAACAAGACAATCCAGAGCTCAGTGGCCTGGCAAGAAGCATCTGCCTCACAAGTGCAAGGTTCTGAGTTCAATTCCCAGTACCTCCCTCTCCAAAAAAAGACAATCCAATAAAAAAGTGGACACAGGGCTTGAGACAGATCTCTAAAGATACACAATTACCCAGTAAGTACATGAAAAGATAACACACACACACACACACACACACACCCTTCCACGGTCAAACCCAGGGCCTTCTGTGTGCTGGACAAGCCCTCTACCACCGAGCTGCAGCCCCCCCGGAGATGTACCACATTACTAGTCATTAGCCAGGAAAATCAAACCACAATGATATAACATTGGATACCCACACTACTAAAACAAAGGGGAAAAATGGAAAACGTGGAGGATGAGAACGTGGAGAAACTAGCACACATTTCTAGTGAGAATATAAAAGGATGTAGCCACTGTGAAAAGGTGTCAGGCATGCTGGCACATGTCTCTAATAGAACTCGAGAGGCTGAGGCAGGAAGATGGCTGTGAGTTTGAGACCAGCTTGGGCTACACAATAAGTTCAAGCCCAGCCTGAATTTCATACCAAGACCTTGTCTCAAAAAACCCCCAAACAAACAAAAACAACCCCATAATCCAGCAACCCCAATTCTTCGAATATACAAAAATACTGTATTGAGAACAAGTTCAAACAAAAATTTGTATGAATGTTCTTAACTGCATCATTCATAACCGTCAAAAGGTAGGGAACAACCCAAAAGTCCATCACCTGAGCAAAGGATCAAAATCTAGCACATTTATACACCAGAATATCATCACTCCACCATAAAAGAGATGAAATACTAGTACATGTACGTGAATGATAGTGGAAGATGCCAAACAAAAAAGGTCACCACAAACATTATTCCATTTCTCTGAAATATCTAGAATAGGCAAATCCACAGAGACCAAAGGCAGATTAGTGGCTGGCAGAGGCTGAGAGGGAAAGCACGTGGAGGGCTGCTTCACAGCAGGGATGGGGCTGCCCGCAGGAGCGGTCAGGATGTTCTGGGCCTACGGCGGCATTGGATGCGCAACACGGGCAATGCTCTATCATCGCTGAACTGCACACTTGAAAAGAGCTGAGAAGGCACAATTCAGAGTTATATGTACTCTACAATAAAAATTATATCTGGGACCAGAGCAAAATTTAAATAGTAATTTAAGAAAAGTTCAACTACAATGGGTGGTGGAAGTGGTTCTCATTACCCTCCCAGAAGTGCTGAGGTCAGGGCTGGAGGAAGGAGGGAGACCCAGACTTTGCTATGGAAGCCTCTGGCCTTGGCCAGCGCAGGGCTGGCGGGGCTTCCATGGAGAGGGGGCTTGCAGATGCTGCAGTCAGTGGAGGCCACTTGTGCTGCCGGGTGGCCTGACTGCCTTTCCTCCTGTGTCTGAGGTGGACTTATTGGAGGAAGAAATATAAAAAGTACTCAAAAGAGAAAAAGTCTTCTTAAATAATTTGTTTCCCTGCCCCCTGTATTTAGGACAGGGCCTAAAAGGTCTTCAGGGACTCACTATGTAGACTGGACTCGTAGTGATTCTCCTGTTCTCAGCCTCTCAAGTGCTGGCATTACAGGCGTGTGCCACCACACCCCAACCAGTCTCAATGGCCCTCTCAGTGCGCCCCAGCACAGCATGCCGGGATTGAACCCCGGCCACTGCGCTCTGCCTAAGCAGGTGCTTTACTCTGTTGAGCTATCAGGCTGGCCCTAAAATAATTTTTTAAAACAGGAATAAATGACTTTACATCAATGGAAGGAGAAACACTTGACACTTGCTGAAAAGTAACATCCTTTGATCAGTGTCACCTGAGGTTCCTAAGTGTGTTTCTGCTAATTACAGTGTAATGCTCTTGCTTGGGTTCTACTTCAGGGATGGAAGAAATAACCAAATGAAAACTTTACATATTTTTCAAAACTGTTGTTAAAGGTAACGATGGTTACACTGTTCAGTGCTTCACCATGTGACAGATTTTACATTAAAATCCAATGCCAGGAAAATACACTTTTCTAGAAGAACTGGCCTGCTTCAGCTAACACACAAGAAAAACTATGCACACCAAAGCTCCCAAATGAACTTGTCAAATACAATTATCATTGTGCCTTGGCTTCCAGGCACAGTTGGTTTTAGTTTTTCTCTAAGTTTCTTCCTGCTTAAATTTTGTAAGAAATTACTTTGCTATGTATATGTTTTACTGTAGGCCATTTGAAATCCTTTTTAGAAATATTGGCGGAATTAGATGTAAATTACAAAGTATCAATGGAAAGAAAAAATCAAATCAAATGTCTGCCTACCCACCCAAAGGCCTCCTCCTGTCCCCAGTAGAGAAGAAAGCCAAGTGAATGGTAATGTTACCTGCAGGCCACTGGGTTTGATCCAGACAGTCACATTCTGGGCATAGCTGCGTTTGTTTTTGGGCTGCAGGGGAAATGGGCTCTTATTGTCATCCTCCCCATAAGGGTTTTCTTTAGCATCTTAAAGAAAAAGACATTCTTGAAATGACATCTGGCAAAACACAACAATTCCATTTCTGACTGGCTAGCAGCTCTTTGATCACCCAATCTGTTGTCCTGTCACTTAGTTAATTAAGGAAATCTTGTTAACTTCAATCAGTATGGAGAACATGCTTCCAATAGAAAGAAGTCACTGTCTGAGGAGGTCAAACAGTTGACGGAAGCCTATATAAGTGACAAACAGCTTAATGTCTTCAAAGAAACAAGTTTCACTTATCTGCTTTATAAATTAAGGGCAGAAAGGATAAAATACATACAATATTAAAACACATTTTAAAAATACGTATACAGGTAGATGTGGTGGCACATGCCTATTATCCTATTACTTGGGAACTTCAAGCAGGAAGATCACAAGTTTGAGGCCAGCCTTGGCAACTTAGGGAGACCCTATCTTAAAATGAAAGGGCTGGGGATGTAGCTCAGAGTGCCACTGGGTCTGATCCCCAGTACTGCAAAAACAAAACTCATATGAACTGCAGTTCTCTATGTTCTAATCCAGCATGCTCCAACCAAATTTCCTGTGATGCTGGAAGTGCTCTACACCTGTGCTATCTAATATGGTCACCACTCCCTGTTGAACACTTGACACACAGAAATAAATTTATATTTTACTTAGGTTTAATTAAACAAGTAGCTTTTGGTGACCACTGGCTAGTGTGTTAGGCAGCATAGATTTAAGAATGGAAAAATTATGTATAATTAAGGAAAAGGGTAAGGAATTTTTTTTTTAATCCTTTTAATTATGAAACATGGTCTCACTAATTCAACAACTGCCTAGGTCAGGCGCAGCTTTAAGATCTTTGGACCTCTGCCTCTCAGAGTACTACAATTAGACTTGTGCCAATCAGCAGGCTTTCTAATACAGTTTTTCTGCTTAGTGTTATGTCAGTAACACCTGTCTGAATGGATTAAGTGACGCACTGATGATAGGCATATGTTATGGCTTGTGTAGAGGTGTCCCCCCAAAACCTCATGCAGTCTTTTATTTTTGTGGTGGAATTGGGAATTGAACTCAGGCCCTTGAGCTTGCCAGGCAAGCGCTTATTCTACTGAGTTATCTCTCTGGTCCCAGAAAAATATTTTTCTCGGTGAAAAGGACACAATTTTATAGCTTATTAATTGCTTTCAGAGAATAAAAGCTTTGATGGTTTTATACCTGCAAATAGGGTTTCTGCCTTTTATGTGCTTCCTGAGTAAAGAAAACAGCCACAAATGTAGGCAGCACTCTTACACCTAAGGCTCCTTTCATCCTCATTCTCATCCCCACCATTCTGGGAGCTGAAATCCACTGCCTAAATGTTCATGCAGAAAACTGGAATGCACCCATTTCTCTAACTGAGCAAGATGCTCTCTGCCCCTGATTTGGTCTTTCATGAAAAAACTTAGCACTGACCCCAAATTACCTCTCAATACTCCCGACTCCTGACTATCATCCCAACTCTCCAGACAAGACAGCACTGTACTTGTCAGTGTGGAAACCTTGCAATCAGCTGAGATCCTGAGTAATGGTGCACACAGCATGGTGGTTTCCAATTGCCCTGCCATGATTTCTGTTCTCCCCCTTGCTTGGACTGCTTTACCACCCTTATGCATTCACTCCTTATCTGCAGAAAGTTCCCACGGTATAACAAGCACTGAGCTAGGTACTATGCTTAGGGAAAATACTGTTCTAGCCTCAAAGCATTTACAGAATAAAGAACATTTCTTAAATTTTAACTGTGTCAGATACTATACATGTACAACTTCTCTCTGAATGTCAACCTTACAAGGTAGTAGACATTACTTGTCCCATTAAAAAGGAAATGAGGCTTGGACATTGGACTTACGGTTTTTGAGTGACTCAGCTCTGGTTCTGAGTGAAGCCAACATTGTCTCTGCCACTGAGTACTGCTGCTCCTCACCTACCCAAGCCTGCCTGCCTCCACTCCAGGCCAGATCCTAGCCTGTCCCTCCTTGAAGCCATTCCAAGTTTTTCTGGCAGACAATGGTTTTTTAGATCCTGTTATTGCACTCACTATCGGGGCAAAGTACTCCAGCATCTAACTGGAGCCTATCAACTCTGGAGCCTATATAGGGCGAATGCACCAGCAAAAAGGAAACACAGCATTTGTGGAAGAGAACAAGGGACTCTAAGAAATGACAATTAGCATGGAAATTTAAAAAAAACCAGCTGTACAATAAAGCTGAAGGTATCATACAGAAATCAGAACAAAAAAGAAAAAAAAAAGGGAAAATCAGTAAGAAAAGATAGCACTATATGTGTGCGTGTGTATAAGCCCCCTTAGGTACGTGCTCCAGGAAAGAATAGAATATAGAAAAACATCAAAAACTAATGCACACAACCAGAAGTGAAGAACATCAGAGGCCAGATGGAATTAGCAAAATGAATGCAGAGACCAACAATTACGTACGCCGTTCCGAGAATTCATACCACCAGATAATTCGGATGCAAAGGGCCTTATAGGCACAGAGGAAATAACAGTTCAAGGTCCAAGGTCTGAAAGTCAGAAAGGCAAATGACTCTCAGTAGGGGCACTAAAAACCAACAGAGAGAACATAGGAATACTTGAAAACTGAGCGGCAATCATTTCTGATGCAGGACTCACCTAACCAAACTACTGGCAGCCTAAAAAGCATGAAGTACGGCATTGCACAGATGCAAGATTTCAAAACATTTGCTTCCCACACACTCTTTTCTCAGTGGTCATGAAACATACAGGAAAGATGTGAAGGGAAGACACAGGATGACACAAGGCAAATAGGCCCAGAGAACAGAAAAGAGCTACATAGTCCCCTTTCAAAAGTCAAAAATTAGCCTCAGTACCTAAAAAAAAAAAAAAAAAAAAAAAAAGACATCTAAAAAGTGATCATTTCAAGGAATAGGAGGGATCGGGATAGACAAGGGTGGTTCTGTTTTACATATGCTGCTTTGAAAAACAATACAGCTGCAGCATCTGCTATTACACGTCTGCCACGCATCAGGCACTTCTCACGCCCTCTGGACAGTGTGGGATGGACAGTGGGGTCCATTCGTTATAATTTGTTATGATGCCAGCCCCAACCCTGTAGGGTTGCTGTGAGAACGAAAGAAGAAGGTGTATTTCACTGAGTCCTGCACCTGTTGAATAAAATGGTAGATGATTACGCCCACTGAAAAGATGCAAAGACCCAGCGGGAGGAAAGAACATGAACACAGGGCAGAGGAAGCAGTAGTTCAATGTGAATGAAGAGGTGGCAGCCAGATGAGAAGGGAGTCTGCATTGGGCCTCCGGGTGAGCATCTCGGGTCAAAGTACCGCAACAGTCCAGGTCAGGGTCAGCTTTCTCTGGAAAGGGCCGAAGAGCAGTGTTTCAGACTTTACGGGTCATATGGTTTCTGTCATATTCAACTCTGCCAGTTACAGGAGGGCAGCTATAGGTAATATATGAAGGAATAAGTGTGACTGTGCCTCAATAAAACTTTATTAGAAAGACAGGCAGTTGGCCAGTTCTGTCTGCAGGTGGAAGACACATGACTTTGTGTGTGTGTGTGTGTGTGTGTGTGTGTGCATGTAGCAAGGACTGAAATCAGGATCTTGCACTTGCCAGGCGGGCACCTATGCCACTGAGCCACCTCGCTGACACATGACTATTTTTTTTTTAACAGGGGAAAAGAAGTGTGTATTTAGAATTAGCCAGCTGGACTCAGGGTAGATGATCCCAATTTTGTTGGCAACATCCGGTGCATCAGAATCAGGAGCCAGAAGAACACATGCCTTCTTCTCTCCATCAGGCCTGCTGAGGGCATTGACCTTGGCAACATTGGTGTCATAGAGCTTCTTTACAGCTTGTTTGATTTGGTGCTTATCGGCTTTGACACCCACAATGAACACGAGTGTGGTGTTATCCTCCATCTTTTTCCTGGCTGACTCTGTGGTCGGGGGAACTTGATGATGGCATGGCGGTCAAGCTTGTTTCTCCTGGGGGCGCTCTGCTGAGGGTATCTGGGCTGCCTCCGGAGCCGCAGCGTCTTGGGATGGCGGAAGATGGGTAACATTTGTTATCTTCTTCTTTTTGTAGCTGTGGATGCCTTTCAGCTTGGCTTTCTTGGCCTTCAAAGCTTTTGCTTTGGCTTTAGCTTTGGGATGGGCAGGGGCTTCCTTCTTCACCTTTGGTGCCATCTTGGTAAAAAGGTTCTATTTTTTTTTTAATATATTTTTCTTTTTCTTATTTTATGTATTTGGCACAGGGTCTCAGCACGCAGCTCAGACTCATAGTGATCCTCCTGTTTTCAGCCTCCCCAGTGCTGGGATTACAGGCGCGCCATCATGCCAGACTCGGTGGCCGGCTCAGTGCGCCTGGGGACAGGGCTGGTGCGGCCTGTGGTGCTGGGGATCAAACCCCAGTCCCTGTGCTTGCCTAAGCAGGTGCTTACTCTGCTGAGCTATCTGGCCAGCCCTGACACATGACTTCTGACTAAAGTGAAATGTAAAGAAAGCCAGAACACAGCCCAAGCAGCAAGAATTATAGACAGAATGGACATGGGAATTCTATAGACGTGAGATGAAGGTGAGGAGGCATCTGTCTATACACAGTCAGACACACAAACACACACAACTTTCTCTCCTAGGTTCTCATTCAATTACTACCACATTGCTCTTTTCTGTACTACTGCAAATCCCTCTTCTTTAGTCTTGGCTTCTGTGCCTCTTAAAATTTTCCCCCCATCGTGGTACTGGGGATCAAACCCGGGGCCCTTACTATTAGGCAAGTGCTCTATCACTGAGCTGTATCTAAAGACTTAGTTATTTAATGCAGTCATTCTATAGTCTGTTTCATATGAAGCTCTTGAGCTGCTAATTCTCTAGTTGGACTTTCTTCAAGAGATGAATTTCCTCACATGATGAAAAACTTGCGGGCATGAGCAGTGGGGAGCTGTTCTTCCTGTGGTGGTCCCTCCGCCTGGCTTGTAAAGGTTTTCCCAGAGCCATCACGTTAGTTCTGCAAGAGGGTTGTGGGCTTCATTTGTTCAGAACAAGTTTCTGCATTGTTTGGCTTGGGACTGTCCACATCTGAATAGGTAGTGTCAATCTGCATGGTACAGGAGTTTCCTGTTTAGTTTCCCATTTCTTTTTTTTTTTTTTTTTGGTGGAACCAGGGATTGAATTCAGGCCCTTGCGCTTGCCAGGGAAGCGCTTATTCTACTGAGCCATCTTCCCAGCCCCTAGTTACCCATTTCTAATAGAGTGCATTTTTGTTTAAATTCAGAAAAACACCAGGAAACAAGATGTGCATTTTTCTTCTCAACCTATTATAGAGGGACTAGGCCTTCCATATTCTCAGTTTTGAGTTTCTAGTTCTTGTCTTATTCCTTGTGTCCCTCTATAAGATTGACTGATTGACTGATTGATGTGCTGAGCATCAAACCTAGGGCTTTATGCACACCAGGCAACTACTCTACCACTAAGTTACACCCCAGCTCCCTATAGGAGTTTAAAACTCCAGTCCCTGGATCCTAGGGCAATGAGTGACCAATTAGGACATGCTGCCTATCTTAAGAATGGCTTTTTAAGCCAGGCATGGTGGCACATTCTTATAATCGCAGCTCTTACAAAGCCGAGGTGGGAGGATAGCCATGAGTTTAAGGCCAGCCTGGGCTACACAAGTGAGTTCAAGGCCAGTCTGCACTACATAGCAAGACCATGTCTCAAATAAAAAGAGTGGATTTTAGTCAGGTGTGGCACAGTTTTGGCTAATCCATGGGTTAAGGTAGGAGGATTGCTTGAGCTCAGATACTGCTGAAAGAGGCGGCGGCGGGTTGGGGGGCACTTGTGGAAAAGAAATCAAAAGAATGTTTCATGACATCTGAGTATCATACCAAATTCAAATTTTGTAGTCCATAAAGTTTTACTGAGACACAGTCACTTATTTGCATAGTTTCTGTGGGCACAAAGGCAGAGCTGAATAGTCATGACAGAGACCATGTGGCATGCAAAGCTGAAAACACTGACTAACACTGTTGAAGCAACTTCCTAAGCCCATTCTCTCTGGCTTTCACCTTCCCACTTCTAGGACTGTTGCGGTGACTTCTACTGCAAGATACCTGGACCTTTACAGATCTACTCTTTGCAGAGGCATCTTCCCAGATGGGAGCCCTCATCTCTCCTTTTGGCCTCGGCCAGGTGTTCAGCTCCAGAGACACCAGCAGGTAAACATAAGTCTTCCAACAGTACCCTTGCTGTTCTCATCACAGCTAGCATAATCTACCCCATTGCTTTTCTTTAGGGCCGCCCCACGATCTACAATAAAGTCCTGGCTCTTCACTGTTCTGCCAAGACTGCTCTGCCAGCCACTGCCACCTGCCCATCCTCCCCCACTTAGGCACATCAAGCTCCCTAGCCCCTCTCTTCTCCTCTCCTCTCCTCTCCACATGTGCTCTACTTGTCCCAGGCCTTTCTTCCTTCCTCTGCCTGAAGATTTCCTGTCTTTTCACATTTAGCTAGGGCCCTCTTCTCAGAGAGGATTTCCCTGAATGCTTCTGGCACAGCTCATCTGATCACCAACTCCAGGCTAACCTTGACCTTGGAGAGTCCATTTATTAATCCACTTCCTACCAGACTTTGTACAACTCCAGCTAGCTCCTGTATCCTCTAGGTTGACACAAAATAGCAAATAGATGTCTCTCAAATTGAAACATGCCCAAATGAGTCAAGGAAAATGCTACAGTTTGACCTCAGGGTTTTTTGTTTTTGTTTTTTTTTTTTGCAGTACCCTCTGTGTATCGCAAAAGTGCTTTTCTACTGATCTGTCTCCCCAGGCCTGACCCTGAGGTTCTAACGGTACAAAAGAATTAGTCGAAAAGCATAACAAAATTAGAAGGACCCAGGTGTGATGGTGCACACCCGCAATTAGAGCTATGTGGAGACTGAGGCAGGCGGATTGCAAATGAGAGCCCAGCTTGGGCTACTTAGCAATTTTAGTGAGATCCAGTCTCAAAAATAAACATATGTGTACACACAACATACACACACAAGCGTTTCTCTCTAAGCAGTTATACTTAAGCAGCTTAAATGTTGCTTTCCCTGGGCTGCAGAGATCAGACATGAAATTCTCTTAGAGCTCCCACGTACAGATCCAGAATCAGAGTCCAGAGCAGCAGGGAGAAAGCACAGTCGATAGATCGGATCTGAGCTGTACCTGAAATAGGACCCAGCTGGGCCATTTTCCCCAGCCAGGGGAGAGGTTCTGGGCCAGGCTCAAAGAGAGACATCATGAGGTTTGACTTCTTCTTGCTGTCTGCTTGGGAGTAGAGCATGCCGTGCCACTCAAGGCTAGAAGGAGAAAACACAGTGAGGAGGAGAACACCAAGCCTTCCAGCTGTGTCCCAGAGTCACAGGGCACCAACACAGGAAGCCCTTCCAGCACAGGGCACAAGGCCATCACACACTCAGGAGACCCTGTGCCCAGATGCTTAAAGCGTCCAGATAATTTTCATGTTCAGAACCAACATAGCTAGCCTGGCTGCAAAGTGTGGGAGACTAACACTTCTTAAAACAAATTACACAGCACTTGGAAGGCTGAGGCAGGTCAGCCTGAACTACACAGTGAAATCCTTTCTCAAAAAGACCAGAAAAGATTTATAACCAGACATGGTGGTGTATTTCTATAATCCCTGTGCTCTGGCCCTTGTGCTTGCCAGGCAAACGCTTATTCTACTGAGCTATCTCCTCCGCTCTCCTGTGGTTAATTTTAACCTCTGGGTCCACTACACCTCCCAATCCCAGGTAATGGTCAGAAGGTGGCTTTGCTAACAATAGGTATTACCCAGAGAGCATCACAGATTTCCAGGTTGCAGAGCATGTAAACGCTAGAGAGGCTGTCCTTTGGGGAAGGAGTGCAGCACAGTGAGTGGATCAAAGATTCCATGCAGGGAAGGAAACTTGGCTCTTTCATTTACTATGTGGCTGTTGACTCAGGGAAAGTTCTTGACCTTTCTAAGCCTCATCTCATCTATAATGCAGTTAACATCGAAACCACCACTATATAGTTCAGGCAGGCTTTGAATTCATTGGGTAGCCCAGGATGGCCTCAAATGCATGGCAATTCTCCTGCCTCAGCCTCCCGAGTGCTGGGATTATAGGCATGTACCACCACACCTGAAATCTTATAGTAAGTTGGTAACATTGCTATAATCAGAACCCAGGTATGTGAGATAAGATTTAAAAAGAGGAAAACTGGGGCTGGGGAGATGGCTCAGTGGAATTAGTGCTTCCCTGCCAAGTGTAAGGGCCTGAGTTCAATCCCCGGTTCCACCAAAAAATAAAAATAAAATAAAAAGAGGAAAACTGATAAAGAATATCATATAAGCAACATACAAAAATTAAAAGATTCACTCTGTACTTATATAAGGAATGATTCAGAGAGTAGAGTAGTAGCTTAGGAGTTTAAGGAGTAGTTTAGAATGACATGGGGAGAGTTTGGCATGAAAAGAAAAAAGGTGATCAAGATTTATTTCAGTTACTTACTCAACCTTTTTATCCAACCAAATGTAAACAAGTCTCCTACCCTAACTGGACAATTGCCACCATTCCTTCCACTTTCAGACTGCCATGGAGTAGGACACAGAAGTTGGGTATTTTGCCTGCAATCTGATTGGCTGAATTTTCATCTTCATTGTCATCAGTGATGCCAGTACCCACCTCATCACCCTCTGTAAAAAGAAGACAGGTTAGGTGGAGATTAGCTGTGGAAACTCCAAACCCCAACAGCACACCTGGCTGTGGACAGCCTTGAAGGAAAAGTATATAAAATTGTAAAGGAATCTTGCAGCAAGCTAAAAAAACATATTCCAGCATTCTAATGTCCACAAGAAAATCATGTGAATTTCATTTATATGAAACATCCATCAGAAGCAAATCAATAGGGACAGAAAAGACATGAGAGGCTATCTGGGGTCAGGGGGCTCAGGCAATAGGGTTTCTTTTGGGAGGGGTAATGAAAAGTTCTAAAATTGACATAATGATGGTTATAAAATTCTGTATATACATTGAAAATCGCTTTATTATACACTCTGAGCAGGGAGGCAGGCATATGGCTTATGATTAGATCTCAGTGAAGCCACTACCCAAAGTCCATTTCCCACAGTTCCCTTAAGAAGACTGGTTAGGGCTGGTGAGATGGCTCAGTGGTCTAAAGCACCTACTTGGAACAAGCTAGGCAAAGCACAAGGACCACGGTTCGATCCCCCAGCACCACATGCCAGCCAGCTGCGCCCCCTGGTGGGCTGAGCTGGCCACACACACACACA